TCTGTGACAGCCAGTCAGAACACCAACTATCAACTTCTGTGACAGCCAGTCAGAACACCAACTATCAACTTCTGTGACAGCCAGTCAAAACACCAACTATCAACTTCTGTGACAGCCAGTCAGAACACCTACTATCAACTTCTAGTGTTAGCAGGTTAAAGCATAGAATCTCAACTTCTTGCGTCAGGAGGCAAGAACATTAACTTTCAACTTCTAACACCTCCCTTGGTATCAGCAGAATGTTATCCAACAGGAGGAAGGCAATATGTGACTATGCTGTGATATACCTAGATCCTATAAAATGGTAGCTGCTAAACATTTAGTATTTAGGGTCAGTGCAATGACTAGTACACTGCTGTTAGTGTAATGTGATCAGGTGGAATACTGTGCTGGGTGCCTTTGGCATGGCATTTCAGTGAGGTAACACTTTAAACTTGGCATCAGATCTGCACTATTGCAAGGAGGTTAATACACCAACATTTTACATCCAGCATACATAGCCCAAATAGAGGCATTAACTAAACGACTTAATAACCTGTTAAAAAGATGCTTAACCATATAAGTCAAGCCAAACATAGACATTAGATTTATTCAGTATTCCATTTAGGATGGTTACACAAAATCCAACTTCATATTCTTTATACAAACTTTTTCGATTCTTACATTCACTAAAACAATGAGTATGATTATTGACTTGCTGTGACGACTCATCAATACAACACCATGAATAGACTCATTAAGATACCATTAAGATAATCTCCATCATCTAACATGCATGACTTCATACTGCATACAGTTAACACATGTTATGATGACAAGGAATTAATTATTTACCAAACAAACAAAAGACAAGGAATCTAGCTTGTATATCACAGTATCTGCCATTACCCAGTAGAAACCCAGTAAGAACCTTACAAATTTATAATTGATAAATTACTCTGTAGCTATTGTGATAAGTGATGTTGGACCACTGTCAGCTACCACGACAAATTGGTCCTACACCCCCCTACAGATTGTTTTGGATTTTCCTGAACAGTTAGAACTGAATTTCTACCAAGGAATTGTGGGGGAGACAGCCGAGGGAATGGCGCCTTCTTGCTTGGTTACAGGAGAAAACAGTATGATTCATCCCTTCACATCAAAGACAAGCTGAAGAGTCAAACAGGACATATTTGTAGGTTTAGTGTGGGAAAAATTATAGTAATGCTTTACAAACATACCCTGGTATATGACACATGACAGTCTCTTTTTGTTGTTGTTGTATAAATATATTTGTGAATTAGATTTTTTTACCACTCTTTATAAATAAGTTTGTGAGAAATTGTTACAAACATATAGGCATTCACTGTCAAAATCTGATGACAATAAAAATGTCTATGGTGTAAACCAGGGTGTTAAGATTCACCCTTTGATCTGCAGACTGACCATCCTCACTGGTCTTGATGAATGTCGGCTAAGCAGTTACAGTGCCTTAATCACTTCACTCCTGGATATTCCCACGACAGTGCTAGACTGTCTTCATTAGCATGCCTTGACTGGGTGCTGTTATTACACTGATTTTATAGGGTCATTGGTAGTACAAATTTGGATGCCTTTCACAAATGCTGTCATTTACCCACGTAGTGTGATTATCTCATAATACCAGCTAATTATTTCCAAAAGAAATTGCTAAACCATTAATTATTTTTGAAGTTTAGTATAAATTACAGGACAGTCGCTGACATGCAGGAACTAGGACATTAAAACGGTATATATGTTTTATAATTTGAGTAAAAACCATGAAAGCCATCTCCAATTTCACACTTCTCATCTCAAAGGTAATCAAGGTGGTAGGTCAGTGTTTAGTGGTGTGACTATATGGTGCACTGACCCTTGTGTTTGTAGAGTAGAAATTAGTCATGGTTCTACAATGGGGTCACCCACACTCCATATCTAACACTTGATCAGAAGTTTATGGGGATTTTATTATAAGCAGTTGAGTGTTTGTATGTATATTTTTTTTTATTTTTTAAAGTTATGTAATTTTCATCAATCATAATGATTATAATCTCTAGAATTAGAACAAGTCTTATTGATAGATTATAACAGGTGAGAATAACGTCACATATCAAATGTGATAAAGAGTTCTTTACATCAGGTACGTGATTAAGCCAATAGGTCATAAGCACATTGGGTATTGAACTGGTCTGAAAAATATGCTAGCTCCCAACAAGGAGAATATTCGTCTACATCAAATATGGTCAAAATATGATTCACTATTTCTGATGTGGAAATACATGGTTTGAGAAGAACATTTAAATGACACTTTGGGACATGGCAAGTAAGCTCATATTGATATCTTATACTCATTTGAAGAATACACATGAGAAGGACAAGCCAGGATAATAAACGATTTAAGGAAAGTCTAAACAAAAATTACTTCACTTTAGACAGTTGACAACAAAATAAAATGGTGTCAGATTAGTGGCTTCTTCCCAACTCAGACTTGTGTTACCTTATAATGTCTCTGTAAAAATTGCCCTGGTCAAAAAATCATTTAATGGTTGAAAACCAATTACAATTGAATATGATATCTGCATGTTAATTACAATTGAATATGACATCTGCGTGGTAATGTTAGAGCATCACCATGTACTTTATGGAGCTCTCTGTGCAGTTTAAGATGACAGGGAGGATTTACGTCAGGGACACTTGTCACACTGTAGCTATCGGATGTTCCAGGCTTGTAATACAGTCATACATCTTCTATAGAATCATCATTTTGTTATCACCAATCTGCTTGTCAATCATTCTTTTTCATGTTTTACTCCAAACAAACAGACTGGGAAAACAAAATTCTTCTTGAAGTACGCCCCACTAAGGGCTGTTTATGAGTTTCCGACTAACACATTCATTAATTATTAGGTATTGCAAATCACAAGGAAGTTCACTGTATTCATTACTTTCAAATGAGGTGGAAAAGTTTAACATTACAGGTGAGACATACTGATTCATGTGCAAGCAATCAAACATCACATGACTAAAAGTAGATATTTTAGCAATCAATCTGAAATTAATATTCAAATATATTTCAATGACTCAATGATTCCATACAAACTAATTAAAAAAGTAGATGGTCGATAACTGTCTTATACTACTGGGCTCAAAGACCAACACAGTATATTAGTATATTGTTATGCAACCAATGTCTGACCTAAACCTGGGATCACATCCACTACCCGTACAAGAAAGTTCTAAACCTGGAACCATACCTACTACCTGTACCAGAGAGTCCTTAACCAGGAACCACATCCACTACCTGTAGCAGAGAGGCTAAACCTGGAACCATACCTACTACCTGTACCAGAGAGTCCGGAACCTGGGTCCAACCCACTACCTGTAGCAGAGAGCCTTAACCTGGAACCACATCCACTACCTGTAGCAGATCGAGTCCCAAATCTCAGACTACACCCACAACCTGTGCCAGGAAGTCTCAAACCTTGGACTAAACATCTGCTTCCTTTACCAGATGGCTTAAACTTGGGACAACACCCAATATAATTCCCAGAATCCTGAGCCTGGGACAACACCTCTTAACCATCCCAGGGACCACACCCTCTAAATATCAATAAGGCACCAATCTATAGTGATGAATCTCTTTGATGAAAACTTGAAATAGTGAATCACTCCTACCCTTTACTATTACAAATAGAGTTGATTATCTACCATTGATAAGACAACTCCACAAGACTCCCACAGGTCTGAAGAGCCAGGGTACTATGACAAGGTCCCAGGAGATACTTCATTATTGATAAGCTGTTGCCTCCCATGTGTTCTGCCAGGCTCAAACTTCAGACCCAACCTAGTACTATTTTACACCCCACCTTAGTGTGTCAGCCACTGCACCATGTGTTATGACAAATACATCTGATAATCTAGTATGTTGATTAATGAAATATGACTCTGGATAGACTGATATAGGACAGGCATATGCATGTCTCTATCTGTCATGTGAGACAAGATGGACCACACTCACAGATTGGCTACACTGAGACAACTATTGGTAACTGTGGCAATCGGTTACGCTACACTCTGACAAATGTTATGGTGACTAATTTTATGTTTTAGTGGTCTCCAAAACGTATTTTGAATATTTCAATATTTGAATACAATAATCAATAATTATGTTTGGTTTATTTCATTTATCTAACATCATTGCTGAAGGGTAAGTTATTGAAAATATGATGGAAAAACTCCTGAACACTTGAAATTATTTCCCGTACAATATCCCGACAACAACAAATTCATGAAAGCATTTCCTTTCTTAAGTACTTAATAACACAGAACAGTCTTCAACTCTGTAGCAATGATCCTTATATATTAAAGTATAAATATTTAGACAGTGATCCATGTAAAGATCAAAGGCAATGATTCACACCTTTCAAGGTCTCCAGTCGATACCAACTATAAGGAATTCAATATACAAAGTAGGCTGTCTTTGTCACTAAATACACACACCACGAAGGAACAGGGTAATCGACTGCTGTAAAAAATACTTTTAAGTTTTGTACAACCAAATGACGTAAGCCTGTAGTAGTTACATACCTGTATTTAGTTCATTTGTTTGATAAATACTAATGTAGACAAAAAGATATTTCTAATTTAATTACAGCAAATATTGTAATACGAAAAATTGCTGAAATCTTTCTTACTACCTTACATTATACTATTGGCATTCATTCGTACTTCCAAATCATGTAGCAACTTCTGACCATGCAGCTTCAGGTCTGCAACCATTCTTCTACACAATGGTAAGAAGTCGAGCTCACAACTCAAATTAATCAAAAGACCTGTGAAAAGCTTTCGTCTGTACAAGAATGTCCGAGCTGACCTTTTGTTGAGGTATTGCCTGTTTTGCTTTTCCACAGATATGACATTGGTTAACATAAACTGATTTCAATTCCAGTCAAACTACCGTGTCTTCCAACTCAGTGAATGATACTAATAATGAAGGCACCTACCTTTTAACAAAGCCACACTTTTAAACAAAGAACAGGTCATGAGTTTTCGTAGAAGGACGATAAGAAAGTTGTCACTGGTGAGAAGGGCAGGTAACTCTGTACACTGGTCGTACACAATAACATCACTGTATTCCTCAATGTCTATATGGCATGTCTGAGTCAGGAACTCCTTAATATGGATCTGTAACAGAAAATACACCATATAATCAACACACCATCGATATAAGCACAAACAACACATGTAAATAAATTTAGTAGAACTGGACTGGGTCGATCACTGGTGACCAGGTACCTTAATTGATCAGATTGTCCGTCTTAAGAGTTCAGAGGTCTAGAGTTCGAATCCTGGTCTAGGCTATGCATTTTTCTCTCTGTAAAGTGCTGCCTGTGATCAACCATTCTTCCAAGTAGTGTGTGTACAAGGGGCAAGGGGATACCTCAACCTGGGTTGTAAACAAGTAGTGTGTGTACAAGGGGTAAGGGGATACCCCAGCCTGGGTTGTAAAACAAGTAGTGTGTGTACAAGGGGCAAGGGGATACCTCAACCTGGGTTGTAAACAAGTAGTGTGTGTACAAGGGGCAAGGAGATACCCCAGCCTGGGTTGTTAACAAGTAGTGTGTGTACAAGGGGCAAGGGGATACCTCAGCCTGGGTTGTTAACAAGTAGTGTGTGTACAAGGGGCAAGGAGATCCCCCAGCCTGGGTTGTTAACAAGTAGTGTGTGTACAAGGGGCAAGGAGATACCCCAGCCTGGGTTGTTAACAAGTAGTGTGTGTACAAGGGGCAAGGGGGTACCTCAGCCTGGGTTGTAAACAAGTAGTGTGTGTACGAGGGGCAAGGGGATGCCTCAACCTGGGTTGTAAACAAGTAGTGTGTGTACAAGGGGTAAGGGGATCCCTCAACCTGGGTTGTAAACAAGTAGTGTGTATACGAGGGGCAAGGGGATACCTCAACCTGGGGTGTTAGCAAGTAGTGTGTGTACGAGGGGTAAGGGGATACCTCAACCTGGGTTGTAAACAAGTAATGTGTGTACGAGGGGCAAGGGGATACCTCAACCTGGGTTGTTAACAAGTAGTGTGTGTACGAGGGGCAAGGGGATACCTCAACCTGGGTTGTAAGCAGTGTTGTCTTTGGGGGTAAAGACTTGGAAAAGGAAGGAAGGAATGTAGCAATAGCTCAATTAGTGTCCACCAGAGTTCGGAGGTTCCAGGATCAAATCCCAGTTCAGGCCTACATTTTGCCTCTCCTGTTACATAAACAACACAGTAATAATTGATAGTACATGTATTAATTTGTTCTCATTGGAAATACATTTGACAGTTCTCCAGGATTGACCTGATGCTCTAATAAAACATTGTGTACCTCCTTTAAATCTGTAAATTGTCAGAAGAATTCCAATTTTTCCTAATATTGACGCATAATATCAATGTCAGCCATTGTCAGTGTCTTTAGAAAGACTAAAGTTTTAAAGGAATGAGATGTTCTTCATTCAAGTTTGAATCCAGTTGTGTAAGGTATGAATTTTTTTTGGACACAGGACAAACTTAATTATGCGTCATCTTTGTAATGTTCAATTTTAATTAGACCGGATGTGAACATCGTCACCAAATGAAGACCTATCAATGGGAATAAGACATCTAGGTCATAGAAGAAATGCGGCAAGTAAGTTGATATTTTATCTTTCAGATCAACACTTACACTTACTACTTACGTATAAGTACAACTTTCCTGTGTTAAGTACCAGCCAGAACCAACATTCAAACTTTCCATTCATAAAATGTTTACAACTATTTAATTCAGATACATTACAGCTACATCGTGATGCCTTCAGGTCATCCTAAATGTGAAAATTCTAATGTGTTTTTGCAAATCTATATAAATCAATGGTGCTTGATACAATTTGAATGTCTTTTCAAAATCTCAACAATAATTTACCAGCAAATCAAAAGTATCATTTCCTCAAATCATGCTTTACACTTTGTAACATGAGGTATCTTTGAAAGCCTTTCTTTGTGGACTGAACTTTTAAAAGAAATGTGTTCTTTTAATTTATGTACATGATTCTGACATACTTCAATAATACTTTAGTAGTGAAGTTCAAATAATGTAACACAATTTCTGGGGGATGTGGGGTAGGCACCATGTTAGTGCAAAAAAGAACAAGAGCTGTCAGAGAACAGCAAAGCTCGCCTATGTATGTTATTATAATATTGCAACTATCAATAGAAACACATGTATAGTAAAACGTTGATTTAGTGCCTGTCATTTTATTTGCCACCTCACTTACCACCAGGATATTTCAAGGACCGTTAAATGTGTAGAAACATCTATGTGAAGTGATTGTTAAGAAATTAACAAAGTCCAATAAAGCTGTTTTTGGACGCTAAAATATGAAAATATGGTTCAACACATTGCTTACACTCAATACAAATACTTCCACCTTATAATAGACAACAGCCTATTGATGGTGGTGGTCCAACACTACCGGGTACCCAACAAAACTTGCGCAAAAACTTAAACCTCAAATTTAACTAAGTCCAATCAAGCTGTTTTTGGGCCATAAAATATGAAAATATGGTCCAGCACATGCTAACACTCCATATAAATGCTTCAATCTTATAATAGACACAGCCTATTGATGGTGGTTGTCCAACACTTCACAAAAAATTTGACCTCAAATTTAACTAAGTCCAATTAAGCTGTTTTTGGGCCATAAAATATGAAAATATTGTCCAGCACATTGCTTACACTCGATATAAATGACTTAAACTCATAATAGATAACTGTGTATTGAGTGTGATGATCCAACACTGTCTGGAAAAAACTTGCACCAAAACTTTAACCTCGGAAGGTGGGACGCCGACGCCGGGGTGACTACATTAGCCCCCCAATTTTCGAATAGGCGAGCTAAAAAGAGTAGAATTAAACAGCACAGTTTTCTCCACATAAAAGTATAAGCTGCCTTTAAAGGGTGTACTTTGACCAGCACAATATACTGAGACACCAACTTTCGTTTCCCCATACTTGAGGATTCTGATCTGTAGGTCAATGGACTTTGGACCCTGTAAATGGTCTGATACTAAATCCATCTGGTGAGTTTAAGATGAAGGAACCAAAGAGCCACACAGAGCCAGCCATTTTACAGACACCACTTAATGTGTCATGTGTTGATTGGACACCTAAGTAAAGATACATTAAACTTAAACAATAATCAGAATTTTATCCTAATATGTGTGGAGATAATCTTATGATGTGTGTGGTCTAACTATAATCATACCTAACAGTATCGGGTGCCCCCCTTCCCCAATCCTACCTTACAGTATCGGGTGCCCCCATTCCCGGATTCTACCTTACAGTATCAGGTGCCCCCCTCCCCTGATCCTACCTGACAGTATTGGGTGCCCCCTTTCCCTAATCCTACCTTACAGTATTGGGTGCCCCCTTCCCCGATCCTACCTTACAGTATCGAGTGCCCCCTCCCCTGGTCCTACCTGACAGGATTGGTTGCCCCTCTTCCCCGATCCTACCTTACAGTATCGGGTGCCCCCCTTCCCCAATCCTACCTTACAGTATCAGGTCCCCCCTTTTCCCGATCCTACCTCACAGTATCGGGTGCCCCCTTCCCCAATCCTACCTTACAGTATCGGTTGCCCCCTTTCCCCAATCCTACCTTACAATATCGGGTGCCCCAATTCCCTGATCCTACCTCACAGTATTGGGTGCCCCCTTCCCCAATCCTACCTTACAATATTGGGTGCACCCCTTCCCCGATCCTACCTTACAGTATTGGTTGCCCCCCTTCCCTGATCCTACCTTATAGTATCAAGTGCCCCCCTTCCCCAATCCTACCTTACAATATCGGGTGCCCCCCTTCCCTGATCCTACCTTACAGTATCGGGTGCCCCCTTTCCCAATCCTACCTTACTGTTTCGAGTGCCCCCCTTCCCGGACATCTGAAGCCCCTCCTCTTGTGAGTTTGTGTATATGACAAAGCACACCTGTTTCAAGTCGTGTGTCATGCTGCGACCTTGTTGAGCTAATGACCTTGCTCCAACAAAGTAAGGATGCCATGCAGTGTGATCTACATAGAGGATGTTCTGCACTGTAGTAATGTCACTGTCATCTAAGTGCATTTACCTGTGTGGTTTTACCTGTGTGAAATCTCATCAGGCACACGCCCTTGTTAAGTTGATGTTACAGGTGACAGCAAGATACATCACTACTATAAATTTCACGATTCTCTAATTGACAGGGTTCTTTTCATTGTTTTTATCAGTATGTGGTTATTTTATTTTCCACTTTAAATTCCTGATGTCATAAATACATACAGAAACCGTGTGTGTGACTTATTCCTCCAGAACATGCACTTTGAAGGCTGTTGTGGGATTTGATGCCTTAACATAGACATCAATCAATAGCTATAAACTAGGTCACATTACAAAATACAACAGCAGATGTTCATTTGAGGTAGCGTTGAAGTGTTTATGCATACTCTTACACTCATATATGCAGACTTATACAGTAACTGTACATCAATACAGACTGGCTCATACCTATATAGTATATTCATGATTTCACAACCATTTATATATATTTACATTTCCACTGCAAGTTCCACTATAAGCATTACCAGGATAAATTGCGGTCATAGAGCTATGAACGTAATTTGATCAGGGTCGTTTTGAAGCTTCTCCTCCCGCCTCGATTAACATGAGACAACCATTAGAATCAAACATTTTTGTGACGTTAGGCTGTTCCAGGAATCTTGTTTGTGCTGACGACAGACACTTCAATATTGAAAATACAAGGGAATGTCTATATAGAATGTAAATATAAGGATTGAATGGTTTATTTTCAATATTCATGTCAGTATGAAATTGAAAAAATCCTGTGCAATCCTTATATTTGAACAACCTATCATCAAGATGAAACATCTACTACGAACATGAATCAACTAACATCAACCATCCTGAATCTAACTAAAGTAAACATAAACTTACTGTTCATCTTCATACCAACTTAGCTGTTACACCTTCTGTGTATCACCTAAGCGTAAACATGAACAATCTACTACAAACATCCACTGAACACAAGCATGAACCGACATCACATTAACATAAGCCAGCTAACATAACCATGAACAATCTAACATAAACATGACCCATCTTACATAAACTCAAA